AGTCTTTACAATTCTCTCTCTTTCTGTTCAATTTCATTCAATTCAATCTTTCAAATCAAATCAGCTTTATTGTCATGGCAATTAAAATATAGTATTGAAAAAAGGCGCAACATTTCGATTATTGTGTGTGTGTGTTTGCGCAGGTGAAGCGAACAAGAGCTGCTCTCATTTCCGACTCAGCAAGGTTGAATTTAAACCGTGGGAATTTTGATGAAATGTAAACCTTCTGATCATTCATCCAAAATCCAATTTCTGCTTCGCAGACTGCCGGTGACTGCTGTGAATCTGGGATCATTATTCTGCGGGAGAGGTTCAAGGGAAGAAAAAAATGAATTGCTGGATGAGATATTTGCATGGCTCTCTGCTCAGAAAGCTGTCTTCCCTCTCGCTGTGTCTGTCTCTCATTAACGCTTGTTCCCTGAGAGATTAAGTCTGTCCTGTGTGTGTACACACTTTATTAGGTACACTTCTCTAAAAGTTTAGTCCCCACAACAGCCTGAATTCTGCGTCTCTAACCCTGACATCTGACTGTAGATCCTCTGGGTCGAAGCGGCTTCAGATGGTGAGCAGGACAAACAGAGACTGACGACAGACAAAATTCTCGCTCATCACAAACAGCAGAAGCTTTCTGATTTTTTGCTAATTAGACTGCACTATCAAGAAAAAATGCTTTGTCAGAGATTATCTTTATTTCAAATTTCAGACTAGCTGTGCTCTTTGTGACACATTGGCCCATTCTATGTCATTTAGGCTTTTACAGATCAGATCCAGACTGATCTCATGAAATGGTGTATGTATGGCGTGTTTATGAACGGCATTGACTTAATGTTACATCACTGTATAAATATATGACCTACCCCAACCCCGTCACTGGGGTTAATAGCATTTATGAGTCTTCCCTTCCCATCCTAGGAACAAAATATCGCTCCCCAGATGTAGATCTACATTTTGCTTTGTTTCGCTCAGACATTTAACGGCGTAGACATACACGCATACACGCGGATAGCTCAAAAGGCGTATAGATGACACCACTTGACTTGAAAGTGGCGTGTACGTTTACGCAAACGTCATGATGCCCTGTTGTCAGATCTGAGAACGAGTCTTTGCCTGCTGTGTTTTCATGTTCGTTCCAGTGATGAGTCTAATAAAAGACTACAGATCTGTGGAGAAACATCACACACACACACAATTCATCCTCACCTAATAATTACAATAAATGATCCGTGTCCCGATATGCATGAGGCGTCTCGTCCCATTGACCTTTCCATTAGTTTGGTCCTCGTGTGTCCATCGCTGTGAGCTCCGCTGCCGTAGGGCTAGGGTTAGGCTAGGCTAGTTGCTATATACGGCTAATGCTCCGCTCGGGGGTCTCTTTAAGACATGTCAGGACTGAGACAGAAAGGTAATTGCTGTCTCTACGGCTGCTGAACATCACAGGCTCCGGCTGGGCCCAGAACTGAGCCTTCCGAGAGGAATCCACTTCTGAACATGTTCTTCTGTTCCCGTATGGAGCGGAGCACATCTTCCTCACCAGTTTAATTGGGTCCCACTGATTCTGTAAATTAGCAAAGGAAACACACTAAGAACAAAGATTTGCCAACCACTGGAGAAGGTGCGCTAAACCCAGCTGGATTACACTGTTTTTCTGTTGGTTGTTTTCTTCACGCTTGTTAGTCTGCCGCTTGAATCTAACCCACATCTAACACTAAAAAAAGACCTGACGCATTGATGCGCATCAGAAAGCAGATTCACAACGGTTTTCTAGCCACCACACCCACTTTCAAAGCAACTATACCATAACCTTGGTTGCTCTTTTTCAGGGGATACAAAAAGCCAGTCAGATGTTTCTAATGCTCTCGGAAAGATCTTCAGCCTAATGAATGCTTTCTGTGGCGCAAACAAAGTGACTTCAAAAGCCGCGGGGTAACGTTTGCCTGGAACCCTGTGTTGGCCCATCGAGCGGATATCGAGCCAGCAGACGCGCTTCAAAGGCCTGGGTCTCTCGACCCTAAACGAGCCGCACGACCTTCTCCAGCTCTCTTTCATCGGCCAGAGGATGTGACCCGACACACACTGCCATCAAAAGCCTTCTGACGGGTTAATGAGAGCGTTTTAAATAGCACTGTTAGCATCTGCTCATTAGAACCTTCACATCGATTCATTTATTTTAATTAGAAACCTCCTCCAATAGTGTGCCTTCAGTTCTGAGCTGAACATGGACACACACGTGTATCTGGACCGTGTGAGGCTGTCTGTTGTCAGAGCCTCCTGGACCGGTGTCAGCGCCCGTCTCAGGTACACGCCGCTCTATATCTCTCCCACAAAGCATCAGCTCCAGCTAATCTCCTCTGAGAAAAGGACAAATAATGAATGCGTGTCTGTCTAATTAAAGAGCTCAGTCGCTCCTGGTCACGCTTGATTACGCCGGCGCACTCTGAGAATAGATGTGAGCACGGGCCCTCCAGAAGCGCCTGACACAGCGAGGACGCAGTGTGTGAGAGAAGCCCTCTGACATTTCTGTGCTGATTAACTTTAAAACCCTCTGCCTTACAATATCAACACGGGCGATGATTACGACCCGATCCCTGCCCTTCCTGCCGCCGCCGCCGGCGTTCTCCAGCGCGACTCCGACCGCGCCGCGCCGACTGAAGGCGCCAACCCTTCCGGTAATGTGGCGTTTCAAAAGGCACATAGACAAACTGATCAAAGCACATTAAAGGGATAGTTCTCTTAAATGAAAACTTGCCCCTATGACATCTTGAAGATCCTTTCTCTGTATGGACAAAAAACTCAGTATATTTTATTTTTGTTCCACAGAAGAAAGAGGGTTAGAAACTAAATATCCCTTTAGGAGAGCCAAATATTTGGTATTAATTCTGCAGAATAAACGAACAGCTGAAATTACATCCTAAAAGCAAGTCTCCTTTTCAGCATGTCAGCAGTTTAATGAGGATCTGAGCATCGGCTTTCTCTCATTAGAGACGCACCTGCGCGAGCCGACTTCTTATATGTGTACAGCGCTTTAAGGCTGAATGGATTGTGCAATCTAGTGTCAACCTCTCCTCTATGACGACACGAAATAATGACGTCAGACGGACCTGTCAATCACATCGCGGCCATCAGGCAGCTTATTTTGTGCTCTTTTTCAAAAGTGTGTGTTTGCTAATGAGCTTCCTTAAGAGGAAATCCATGGGAATCCCCTGTGTAAGCCAAGGCAACATAATTAACTTACAGCCATGATTTAGCCCTTTTAAATGAGCTCTCTCTTTTTTCTTAATTATTCCACCTGCTTTTAACGTCCCGCTTGTCCTGCGAGGGTCCGTCTCCAGGGACTCGGGGTGTCAGCGCGTCCCCTTAATGAACACGTTGGTTCCCCTGCTAGCACACCTCCTGTAGGTTAGCAGCGGCCGTGCGCGCGGAGAGCTTCGTGGAGGGAGAACTCTATCGACTTCTGCAGCGGCTCGTGTCACGTAGACATCTAGCCCCGTCTCTCCCTGCAATGACAGGCCGTTCTCCAGCGCTTCTGTGTAATTAGAGCGAGCGACGAACCTCCAGCCGTTAGCGAATCCAGCCATCTTCAGGAAGATGCGGTCAGAAGCGCTCCATCAACACCACAGAACCAAACCAAACTCAGATCTGGAGGAATTCCCCAAACTTATAATTAAGCAGATGTGCACATGGTGAGCGAATGGTAATTAATCATGATTACTTTAATTACGCATTGTTTTGTCAGTAATGGGGACATTGCTCGACAGTGTTTTTTCCTTCAGACGACGACGACAATCCAGCCGACGCTGCCCTGGATATTAAAAACGTCAATCTTTCTCATGCAAATAAGTCTGCCTCATTTCCAGTTGGTGAACTTACAGAAATGATTTTTCTCACTCTTTCTTTGAAGTGAAATTTTCTTCCCTTGTGAAGGAAATGGTGTGATATGATCTTTAATTAAGAGATAGAGTAAATGTCCCCTCGCTGTGGCACGAAGAAGTGTGTTGTTTCTGAAACACCACTCGTGTCGAGAGTTTATAGAGGAAATCAAAACGAGGCACTTGATTGTTTTAATTGAATGAATAAACGTGAATGTCAGTGTCTGTGCCTCAACAAAACACACAAAGGCCGTCAGATAACAGACGCTTCCACTCCAGAAGTCTACAAGAAGATGTTTGCCGGAGATTATAAATGTTTGGAGTGCTCCGAGGGAAACCGTCTCTCTCTATCTGGAAATCTCAGCTGGCCAATCAGATGTGAGCGCCACACATTAGCCATCTGTTCTCTTTGCTCGAACATTAAAGTGAAAGCTGCCACGTTCAGTTCTGCCCTTGACAAACTTCACTAACTGAAACCCACGCTGCCGTGATGGAGGATCTGAGCGAACACCTGGCACATCAGAAGACCGCGCTCGCTCTCATTAAACTCAACAACAGCCCAGCTAAGATTTATGCTCAGTGAACGAATGAATCTTTTTAATAGTGGTTAAACGTTGATCGAATGTGGAATGAGAGGAGGAGTGATGGAGAGATATACACACACACACACACACACACATTCCCAGTGGCTCAAACTGCCACAAATACTCTTGCTCTTCTACATGTCTCAGTTTCTGTGAGCGAACTCTCTCTATCTGGGTGTTGAACAGAATCTGTTTTACATGAAACTAAATAATCAATGCATATTTGGTGGTGAAAAGGCTCATTACAGTAATGTGGGGGATTTGCCGGTCACACTGCGCTTCTGAACAGCTGACACACTCATCGTCACCTGACTTTAAGCCTCTTAAAAGAGATTTTTCTAATTGATCACTGATAGGAATGAGATCCGCTATAGTTTAGGACCCTGACTGATGGAGTGTGTTCAGTTCTAACCAGTGTGATCCTACTTGTCAAAGAAAGTTGAGAATGACTGTCATTTAGGATTTAACGTTTGTTTATGCGTTGATATCAGACACAGATGACGGCATTGACACGTAACTGATTATCTGTGTTGTCTGTTTTCCTGCACAGCGCCACTGACTGACAAGCCGCCCAAGATCCTCTTCCCGTACGAGAACAAGCTGAGCATCGTGGAGATGCAGACGGGTAAGGCGGATCTGTGAAAGTGTGTGTAGACTCTGGCTTTAGTGTGTGTTTCTGCGCTCCGCTCAGATGAATGTGCTGTGTTTGATCACCTGTGTAATGTGTCAGAATTGCACCTTTGTAAAACAATAGAGCTTTTATGTGCTGCATTTCATGGCCGTTTATGGCTAAATGAGTGTCAGAGACACTGACTCGACTGAGTGAACATGAATGATGCCACGGTCACAAAGACTAACCCCTGGAAATAACGAGCGCTGAGACTCGAGTGGAAATGCAGATCAGCGGTGAAGGCGTCTAGAAGAGTTAGTCAACCATTCACATTTATTTCTATAGCACTTTGTTTCAAAGCAGCTTTACAGAACATCATGATCATAATGTTTATAATATCTCTATATATATATGATTTACAGTTGCATTTAACAGATTAGAGCTGTACATAATACCCAATTATCTTTAGCAAAGAATGAAAAAACTCTGTGATCTCCGGATAATGGAGAAAGAGGCAATGCCAGGGGCCAGTTCTCCTCTAACTATAGTCAAAGTTTACTGTATTTGGTATATATATGTTACTCCATTGATTAAGTAGATGTTGTTCATCTGGAGCTCAAGCCGATCGATCGCCATCAGGAACCCTGAATTATTCTCACTGAAGAGAAGTGTCTCTAAGATGCAGAAATGAAGCTGTCAGTTCAAAAACATCTTTGAACTTATGTTTTCTGGCTTCATAATAATGAATAAAAGATCTATAATTGTACAAACGTGTCTCAGTCCACGTCTAGTGGAGTCTCTTTGGCTGCTCTAATAACCAGAGCGCTGTCGTCCTCAGCCGAACCCGTGACCGCGGGCGACCCGCTGATGCGATAAGGTCGGACACTCGGGCACGAGAGACGGCCACCCAACACTGCCTGACTCACTCGCTAAATGCCACCCGCCTTTCATTTCCATCTGAATGCACCTCTTGAGAATCCAGAGCAATGTGCAAGCACGGTTGCCAGAGACTCAACAAGAACCCTTTTGGCAAGTGGGTCAGCAGTGGATTGGTGGATTACTTTAGCGCTGTACGGTAAAGTTGTGCTTCAGAGCGGTCAGGCCTGAAGATGTTGCTTATAAACGCAGTGTAATAAGAGTTTACAGTGTTTAACCCCAGAGGGATGTAAAGAAGGCTGGCACGCATGACACTATTGTGGTTAGGTTATTCTTCTTGCCATTTGCAATTCAGTATGAATATATTACAATTCGGTATAATAAACACAAGAAAGAAGCTCTTCCTGTGTTTATCTGTCTGTAGTTTTGTTGAGATGGTGTTCAGATTAATTTTTTTTTTGAATTTGTAGTTAATGTGCATGACATTTCGCTTAATAATAAAATGTATTTTGGAGTAAATTTTCATGCAATTTTGTACATATAATGTCCTGGGGACAGAAATGTCACCCTTTCGGTAGAATGGCTCTTCTAGTGTTCAGATGGTGTTGGTTCTGGTGCAGCTGAGCATCTTGATGAATCAAAGACTAAAACATGAACTTTATTATCACAAGCGCTATTATTATTTCTGGAAAAGCCTACGTGTTGTTAGTTTTTTACATTTTTTATTTATTTTTGCTTGGTTATCTTTGGATGGACAGTGAGACTACTAAAATGTAGTCAAATCTGAACTGTAAAATTATCAGTATTTTTAATGGAAAACATCTTTACTGTAAAATAAAGAAAAATATTTGCCAAAATTTGGCAACTGAATTTATCATAAATAGAATTTAATCATATTTTACAGCATGTACACTTTTTTTTAAATGGCATATTTCTCTTTAGTTTTAGTTTGTTTTCTACATTGCAATCAGCCTGATATCATGTGCTAGTGCGCAGAATTACAGTTAATCCTACAACTGCGCGGACACGAGTCGATTCCCCGCCCCACGGTTCCTCGACCGCTGCGGTTTGGTAAATGTCACAGCTGTGAGGCGGTACAGCAGATCAATATTACATCATTTCTCTCAATTAGAGAAAGCTTATCATTACTCTGAGGAAGTCTTATCTGTATTCAGCTGAGCTTTCCAAGTTACAGGCCAAGAGTTACATGGCAGATAAAAGGCCAGCATGATTCCCTCAGATAATACAATCCTCATCTTAATGAATCGACATTGGTCAGCGTCCAGAAACCTTTAACTAGCTGTAGATTTATTTGCACACAATGTTGAATTGTTTTATTGGTAGCCTACTTTCGTTCTGCTGTACATTTGGAGACTGTGCATGCTTTGTGTCTGCTGAACCTTTATATATCTTACATTCTGGGAAGTAAATGTAAATGAGGATACTGCCGATCCCTGAATTATCACTATACTGTCCTGTCCATCGAGCTTTAAGATTTGAGCCCTTTAATATGTTTTAATCTTCTTCATCTCTTTGAAATGGATTTATCTTTGAACGTGAGCGCCGACGTCTCTCGATCAGTTCAGAGCAAATAACAGGCTTTATTAGTCTTCTAGTGTCTGTTGTGTACAGGATCCACTGAGCCTGTTTGTATTGATTGGGAATGATGATGATAGCTTTCCTAGAAAATGGAGGAGCTGTTGATTTGTACTTTTCATTTTCAGAAATCTTATAGCATAATGGTCATTACAGGAATCAGAATCAAATCATCTTCCTCTTGAGTTTATCCAGTCCATGCGAGTCGATTCTAATTCACTTTATCCGCCGTTCTCCGTCAGGTTGCGAGTTCTCATGTTTTTCTCCTGAGTGTTTTTCATAGGAACAAAGAATCTCTTTGTAATATTGAGCAAAAGATCTAATGACCACATCTAATGTTCCCTTTCGAGGGAACGAGAACTGCGTCGAATGACACTTTGTGGGAACGCACTTAGCATAACACATGTGAAGTATGAATGAATGTAGACCAATCCTGATTGGCGCTGCGTCATGACAGGCCCGGCTGCAGGAAGGAAGGACTGAGGGGGCATGTCAAAATGTTAAGGGGGTTTAACTTTATGCCATCAATGAACAATCAATACACACCTCGCTTCGGAACAACGGATTTTGCAGCGCTCCGTAAAACACTCCATATGCAACTGCACTGGTAACCGCATAATAAAAAGATAAGCCAGCATAATTTATTATTCATTCTGTGTATGAACTCTTTCACGCTTAAGTTTAAAATATTCAGACTCCCCAGAGTGAGTTTTTATTTTAGAACGTTCCCCCCATAGACTGTCAAAAATGTCCCCCATAATGTTTCCATGGCAACGTGTCATTTTTGTCACTTGATAAATGACAGATGTGTATCTGTCATTTACATTTATCTGTCCACGAGCATATAAAATGGTGAGCAGCGAACGTCGAGAACCGTTTTAAATTTTTCCGTGCCGGTCCTCCGCTTCAGGGTATCGAAAACAAGACTAAAATGGCTGAGCTGTCATCCCCGTGGAGGGATGAGTGAGAATCGCTCCTCCGCCGAGCCCTCAGAAAACCGATGTTTGTATCCAGCGTCAAGTGCGGTTTCAGCGAATGCGCGCTGCAGTGTCCGCCACAAGGGCTTGCGGCCAGGCAGTGTGTTTGTCCGCACATCGGGAACTGTTTTCGATTATTCCCTGCCGGTCTTCCGCTTCAGGGTGTCGAGAACGAAACCGAAAGAGCCTCCAATCAGGAGAGCCCTCGGTGATTTATCAAATGTATGGATGCAGCTCTAGCACCGCTGAGGCTCCTGGGCATCAGGGTACTCAACTATAACTAAGATAACGTTAAACAAAAGTATTTTAATCTTCAGAGTGTCTTTTTTATTATTGTTTTTTTTTTAATTATGAAAGATCCATAATCCCTCTCATACTGTGACCAACCAGATCTGTGAACAAACTCTCACCTGTGTCTCGTTCCCTTCCTCCAGCAATACCTCTACATATCTCTGTTCTCAGATCTGTCATGATGTCTGAGTGTTTCTCCTCGTCTGATCAGGATTAGATCAGGATATGACCAGGATTAGATCAGGATTAGATCAGAATAAGATCATGATTAGATCAGTATATGATCATGATTTGATCAGGGATAGATCAGGATTAGATCAGGATTTGATCAGGATTAGATCAGGATTTGATCAGGATTTGATCAGGATTTGATCAGGATTTGATCAGTATATGATCAGGATATGATCAGGGTTAGATCAGGGTTTGATCAGGATTAGATCAGGATATGATCAGGATTAGACCAGGATTATATCAGTATTAGATCAGTATATGATCAGGGTTAGATCAGGATATGACCAGGATATGATCAGGGTTAGATCGGGATTAGATCAGGATTTGATCAGGATATGATCAGGGTTAGATCAGGATTAGATCAGGATTTGATCAGGATATGATCAGGATATGATCAGGGTTAGGGTTAGGGTTAGATTGGGATTAGATCAGGATATGAACAAGATTAGATCTGATCTGCGGTTTGCTAGGAGGCTGGAGCTGCACAACTCTGAGGTTCCTACACTGATGGCGGCGGGGCTGCTGACATTTATAGAGAACAAATTACAGTAATTTGCTGGCACAGCTGTACTGCTGCATGCAGACGGTTTCAGACATTTAGAAATTTATTAAATATTTAAATGTCTGCCTAAACATCGGTTGTGGGCTCTTAAAGCAGCGTGTTGTCCTCTCAGAAGAAGGTCCATCTTTGTTCTCCCAGTGTCTGCTTGTGTGTGTGTGTGTGTGTGTGTGTAACGTACTGGCCTTCTGTGTTCTCTTGACTCCGGCGACTCTAACCCTGCTTGGATGTATGGATGGGTTCATGTCCATCTTTCCTACAGAGTAGTTTATAACCCTTTCCCTGATGCATGACGTCTCTGTCTGGAAGATTTGCACAGTGCATACTATGGATTTAATAATAGATGATTATTAATTGTACATTTGTTTACATTTTGTATTTTTGGGGATCAGAGATGAGTTTTAAGGGATGAAATGATTGACGACGGGAGGACTTGAACTCCTCAGGCTAGGGTCGGATCATGAGTTCAGTGTGTTGCAGTCGTG